CCCCCGGCCCCCCACCTAAAAAATAAATCTGGCACTGCTGGATTGAGTTGGTACAAAGGGAGGATCCCAGATGGTCTTTGTGATTCACTCAAGCAAGGATGGGGTGAGGTTCACTACTTTGGAAGAGTGGCAAGAAGAGAGCCATTGTTACAAAAATAACATAAGTCCTGTTTGCAGTTTGCCAGAAACCATGTTGGGGACACAGCAAACATGTGAAAGAAAGTGCTTTTGGTCAGGCAAGACCAAAATTGAACTTTTTGGCCAAAATGTGAAATGCTTTTTGTGGCAGAGAATTAACACTGCACATCTCTGAACACACCATCCCCAGCATCATGCTCTGGGTGGGGGGTCTCTTCAGCAGGGACGGGGAAGATAGTCAGAGCTGATGGGAAGATAAATGGAAATACAGGGCAATCTTGACTGGGATTGGGCCAGAGGTTCACCTTCCAGCAGAACAACTCTAAACAAAAAGACAGGGCTCCAATGGAATAGTTTAAAACAGAACATAAACATGTATTAGAATGGCCCAGGCAAGATCTGAAAACTGCTGTTTACAAATGCTCTCCATCTAATCTGAGTTTGAGCTGCTTTGCACAGAATGGGCAGAAATTTCAGTCACTAGATGTGCAAAGCTGGTGGAGACGTACCCTAAAAGACTTGCAGCTGTAATTGCAGCAAAAGGTGGCTCCACAAAGTATTGACTCAGGGGGGGCTGAATACTNTAATCTGAGTTTGAGCTGCTTTGCACAGAATGGGCAGAAATTTCAGTCACTAGATGTGCAAAGCTGGTGGAGACGTACCCTAAAATACTTGCAGCTCTAACTGCAGCAAAATGTGGTTCCACAAAGTATTGACTCAGGAGGGCTAAATACTTTTGCACACCACACTTTCCACTTTTTATTTAAAAAAAATATTTTGAATCATGCATAATTTTCTTTCCACTTCACAATTGTATACCACTTTGTGCTGATCTTTCATATTAAATTCCAATGAAATATGTTCATCTTTGTGTATGTAATGTGAAAAAAATATGGAGAAGTTCAAGTGGTATGAATACTTTTGCAAGCCACTGTAAGTCATCATAGACTCTTTTAAATAATTTGAAATATCTTTTTTGAAATCGTATTTGCATATTTTTACTAACTATTTTGAGTACACACTCCTGTCTATGCCTGAGCTTTTGTATGATGTCAACRGCCTTCAGTAATCATCATCAATGTGCTCAGGTGTTTTCATATCTGGTTTGTTTAAAGTTTTTTTATTAACACTTGAAGTGTCTAAATGTAAAAATAAATAAATACATGTACCCATCATATTCTATAACAGTGATTACCTCTTAAGAACATTTGGGACTATATTGGTGGACGCTGGACTTCAAAAAGTAGAATTTAATGACACAAAACCACAAAGATGCTCATTTCTGATGTTTGWAAAGGAAAAATGATGCCCTTATGGAATGAAGTGATTAGAAGTTTTGCTAAGCTTTCAGAGGGAAACAAAAAGGTGTCTGACCTGATGAAAATGACTTTCTAGCTCAGTGATGGGAAATGGTGGCAACATGGTGTGCAAAGCTGATTTTTCTTTGACCTTCTTCACATTCTTTTGTCTTGGCTGTGAAGGACATGTCAAGAGGGAACATTTGAAGCCGAAAAAAGATCTTTTCACATTTAAATGTTTCACCCCTGAATGCCCACTGACTTCTTTTTAGTTTGTAATTATGTGAATGCCAATATATTTTTCTAAAGAGGGCCATGAAGATGGACATAAAGTGTTCTGTTTTCTTCCATTTTATAAACAGACATAATGCTGTTAAGAAGTAATCACCTCCTTGAATGTTTTATGCTTTTGTTGCTGTCATAAATCAATCATGGTCAATATTAATAGGCTTTTTTGACAGCAAAAGTAAAAAAAANACTGTAACCAGTAGGTGACAGCAACAAGCCACAAGTTCCTATTTATTTACAGACGTGAATGGGAAACCTGTGTGCTTGGTTTGTATGTAGCAAGTTTCAGTCTTCAAGGAATATAATCGTCATCGTCCTGGAACCGGAAGGTCGCTGGTTCGATCCCCCGTCCAGCCGTCTCAGTCGTTGTGCCCTTGGGCAAGACACTTCACCCACCTTGCCTACTGATGGTGGTCAGAGGGTTTGGTGGCRCCGATGTATGGCAGCCTCGCTTCTGTCAGTGTGCCCCAGGGCAGCTGTGGCTACAGTGTAGTTTGCCATCATCAGTGTGTGAATGTGAGTGTGAATGGGTGAATGTCTGTTRGTGTAAAGCGCTTTGGGGTCCGGAGGGACTTTAAACGTGTTCT